CAGACTCCACTCCAGCTCCCGGGGCGCCTGCTGAGGAACCCCGCCAGCGCCCTCTGACCCAGCCCTGCCCACTCTCCCCTTCCCCTGGGCCCAGCGCTGACTCCTCAGCATGCTCCAGGCTGGCGGCTTATACATGAATAAGGGGACAGGAAAGAGAATCCAAGACCTCATATCCAGAGTGGTCCTGGGGGGTCGGGTCCCAGGTGAGAGCCTGAGACGTGACAGGTGCTTAGGAGAGGAGCTTCTCCCAAGCTGGGGGAGATGTGAGCAGAAACCACCTGGTGGACACACTAGACGATCTTGTGACGGGCAGGGCTCTCGAGGTGAGTGTCCTGTCCTGCCCCACGTGGAAAGGGGGTGGACCCACTGCTGCCCCCCTCCCACCCGGCCAGGCCCCCTCAGTCTACCTGGTTCTGGTGCCGGCTGCCCGAGGGAGGCAGTGTGATCACTCGTCTCTCCTCCTCTGGGGTCCTCATCAGGGGCCGTCACACTTGGATTCCTGGACAGAGTCATTCAGTCTCTGGGGTCTGGACAAACTGGACTGTCTCCAACACCTCCACATCATTCACTCATCCACATTTGAGCCCCTCCTGTCTCCTGTCCTCCATGACTCTATGAATACCTCCCAAACGAACCCACCTATACTCACCAAAACTGGGGTGTCATCTGACTCCTCCCTCACACTCTTCTTGGTATCCCCTTCTCTCACCTGACGGCCTCCACCCTCGTCCCAGAGCCCGGCAGCTCTCGAGAACCCTTGCAGGGTTACTCGCTCTGTCCCTCTCAGTCCATTGTCCACACAGCCGCTGACCCTAGAGATGAGCCCGGCCCATTTCAAGACCGCTGAAGCCCTGAGCTATTTCTCCATTGTTTTGGGGTGATAATGAAGTTTTTACTATGAACCAAGGGACCTTACTGTGCTTCTGCTTCCCTCACCTGTGCTGTCTTCCTGCTCACCCACCTGTAGACGTAGTTGTCAGACTTGTTAAAAATCACCTGGGGGCTGGGAACCGAGAGCCCTTGGCCGCCCAAGGATCTGATCAGCAGGTCTGCAGTGGGGTCCAGAATTCACCTTCCTAGGCGCTCCCAGGGTTCCGGTGTCCACACAGGAGGTCAGGGAGCAGGTGGGTCTGCTCAGACTCTTGGCCCCCCCCTACCCCCCCCTGAGCCTCTGCCTCTGTCTGGATCACCTTCTGTGCCCAGCTCACCCTCCCGCTCACCCTCCCACTAACCTTCCCGCTCACCCTTCCGCCTCTCAGAACTCACAGGTCAGGACTCTAGACCCCAGATGCAGCCAGGCAACCTGGGGGTTTGTCCTGTCTCTGGCTGGGCTGTGCTCCTGGGGTCCAGCCCTTGCTCCCTGCTGGGCACCTCACACTCTGTGGGCCTCAGGGACTGATAGCTCTGGGATCTATTGATTCCTGGGA